CCTCATCCAGAAGTATTATGAAGCCCCTGGAATAACAACATTGATCACTAACTTCTGCAGGGTTTGTGCCATTTGCGCAAAATGCAATCCAGGGAAACCAATCAAAGTGCCTACAAAACATCTGGCTAAGCCCATGTACCCATTCCAGAGAATTCAAATTGATCATATACAAATACCCAAGAGCGGGCCCCATGAATATGCACTAGTGATAGTGGACATGTTCTCAGGCTGGCCAGAAGCCTACCCAGTAGCCAATATCACTGCCAAAACAACAGCAAAACGTCTACTTACAGATGTTGTATGTAGGTTTGGACTTCTAGAAGTTATTGAAAGTGACCAGGGCCCAGCCTTTACAGCAACAGTGACTAAAGAGATTTGGACTGCTCTAGGGGTGACCCTAGCCTTTCACACCCCTTACCACCCACAAAGTAGTGGGAAAGTGGAACGCATGAACGGCACCATAAAAGCCAGAATGCTTAAAATGTCACAAGAAACAAAGATGCCCTGGCCAGAAAGTCTACCAATAGCTCTATTTAGTGTTAGGCACACACCTGGAGGGAAGCATTCACTATCCCCATACGAGATTCTATTTGGGACTGCACCCAGACTAGGTTGTTATTATCCACAACAGTTACAGCTTCAATCTGATGTTTTAGTAGACTATGTAATTGAACTTGCAAGTGCCTTGAACAAAATACATGCCCAAGTTTTCTCTTCAATTCCAGATCCCGATTTGGATACAGGTACCCATAGCCTGCTTCCTGGAGACTGGGTTCTGGTCAAGAAGTTTGTGCGGAAACATACCTTGGAACCAAGATTTGACGGGCCACTCCAAGTTCTCCTAATCACCGCAACCTCCGTCAAATTGGCCGGCCGGCCACATTGGATCCACGCTTCCCATTGTAAGAAAGTACTTGCCCCAGAGGAAGCTAGTACCGCACCACCATGTACCTCTGGTACAGTATCTTCTTAATCAGCTTAATTAAAGCTCAACAAGTAGCCATCACTAAAGATGCTAGTGGGTACACCTTCTGGTATAATTCATCATGTACCCGTGTGGCTACTTATACTTTTTACTACTGTGACATCGTAGAATGCCCATTCCCCACGTCACAGATTCAGAATATCTATAGAGATATCCCTCATTCAAAAGACCCCTATGTTTGTGTAGTTGACAAACAATGGGGGCACAACTGTAACCATTGGGGGGGCGGTGGGATGGAATGCCGGGCCTGCCTGGGGTTACAAACCAAAAAGTGCCTTATCTAAAATTGATGATCACGGTAGGTCCCTCCTCCAGAGAATGACTCTAAGAGGCATACCTATGAAATTAATCTTAAACATTGAGCATCCCAGCCCAACGGATGCAGACCAGTATGTAATGGGAATGTACTGGAAGAAGGGTTCCTATAATAAATTAGGACATTTCCACCTTAAAGATATGTGCCACTCTCCTGAGTGGAAAGGGACCACCCACATGGTCTCAAATCCGTTGAAACCACACATCCAATCTTTTAAAGACATGATGGCCATTGCAAATCCAACATTTGAAGATACCATGGCCGCTGAAACAGGTTTCAATGATGTTAATCTATGGTTAGAATGGATGAAATATAATGCCAACAAACATAACAGAACCGCATGCTATGTGTGTGGTGGTGCCCGGCCGCACCTGGGCACTGTGCCTTTAACTTTGCCAGTAGATATAGAAGAATATGTTCTGAGTCTTTTTGCCTATCACTACAATTTCAATAGGTCCATATGTAAAGCATGGACAGTAGAGTATCCTCTTCTAGTCAAAGATTGCAAACCCCCAGATGGTGTTACCGTCTATAAAGGTAATTATACCCGTTATGCTAATTATGATGGAATTGGTAAATTTGTGGGTAACTTCTCTAAAGGTTATTGTGCCACCTACAGAACTGTCTCTATGAACCTCCTACAATTCCACACTAGATCATTGGGGGATATTTACTGGTTGTGTGGGGATCTACAGCTGAGATCAAGAATGGATCAAGAATGGTGGGGGGAGTGTACTCTGGCTAAAGCAATCATGCCCATACATATTATCTCTGACACACACCCCGATACTCATGAGTCCAAACTCTCACCAACCAAGGTAAAGCGTGAAGCCCCAGTAAAAGGCAGTTTTGACCCTCATATTTACATTGATGCCATTGGGGTACCTAGGGGGGTGCCCAATGAGTTTAAAGCCAGGGATGAAGTTGCTGCAGGATTTGAATCACTTTTTACCATAGTCACTGCAAACAAAAATTTAAATTGGATAAATTACATCTACTACAACCAACAACGGTTTGTTAATTACACCAGGGATGCCCTTCAGGGTTTGGCCGAACAGCTGCAGGCTACGTCCCAAATGTCATTCAAAGGAGGGGTATGCAAAATTCTGCCTGACACCATGACATGTTGTACTTACATCCCAGAAAACACAGGCCCCAATGGTAAAGTAACCTTAGCTATAGAAAAATTGAAAGAGCTCTCTGAGGAGCTAAAGAGGAACTCTGGGATAAAAGATCCCTGGGAGAGATGGTTTGGTTGGATGACAGGATGGCAAAAAGCTTTGATGCATATTGGTATAGCAATACTAATTTTCCTTTTTATCTTTGCTCTTCTCGTTTGTTGTGTCCTCCCTTGTCTGAGAAAGCTCCTCTTGAAGACTGTAGACCAAGCGGCACCCACTTTCGCACACCTCACAGTTGATGACCAAGATTTCCAAAAAGTCAACTCGCCCTGTATACCGCTACAATCTATCCCGTTTATTGATAGAGTGCAAGAGTTCTAGGAAGGGACCAGCTTAGGGACAGCATCTGTCTGTCTGGGAAGTCTACCGTGCGGAGATGTGGTGGGTTAGCCACCTCGGGATACCCATGGAGTGAAGTGTTCGAGTGCCCAGCGGACAGATGAGTTAGCCAATTAGGGACAGACGAAGGGACAGCTTTGCACTTTGCAATAACACCTAGCTAGCGGGTCACGGGGTTTCTGTGCCTTTGGGCTAACACGTCTTCTGATACTAACAAATAAAGATTATCTTTTAGAATCTAACATTTCATAGGGGGGACTGATGTAGAATTATTAAAATCTTTACTGAACCTGTATTGAATTATTGTACTAACTCCATTTTAATCTCACACTATGACAGGATTCTTCATTTTGTTCACCATACATGACAGAATTTCCTGACAGTATTCAGTATAATGAATAAGAGATTGTATTTTCTCTCTCTAAGGACATAACTAGCCCCGGAGTTAGCGGATCTCCGTTGACTTGCAACATAGTATAATCCAAGGCCAGGAGAACAGCGACTAAATGAAATGTTTTATTCATAAAAGAACCTTGGACCAGGCCACGAGACTGACATCACTAACTACGTAAAATGATGCCCAAGCCCCCCTTTCCACCGAGTAAGCCTCGTGCTAAAGAGCAATGGCGACGACATCCCATGATGGGAGGGTGCCTCACTAGTCACTCAAATCTCTGAGCCAATTAATAATATTAATGGGTGGACACTGACATAGCCACTTAACATTTAACCCAATTAATGATGTTTATTTGTTATTATCTGATATTCAATGATGATGTCATTTTGCATATAAAAAGGCCTGCGTGCCCACTTTTTAACTAGATGCTAATAAATTTCCTGAAGTGTTTTTAACCTGAACTGCATGTGTCAGTGTAAACTTACTTCTGCGTATACGCAATTTATTCATCTCAGATTTGGACAGGAACAGATAGACTTTTAAACATTTTTGTTTATTTCTAAATTAATCTACTACACCCATGTAATATCAAACTGTTCAATGACCATAACCACTATAGCACGCTGTAGTTGTTCTGGTGCCAGATGTCTCCAGGTGCCATTCCCATGTAATATCAAACTGTTCAATGACCATAACCACTATAGCACATTGTAGTGTTAATGGTGCGTTTTAAGAACCACTAATCTATTTCTAAAAACAACTATACTATACCTTATCTGAATTTTATTTTAGCATAAGAAACAAACTAAGACTCCGTTACAAAACTTGATTTTCTCTGTGGCCACAGCATTGCCATTTCATCATGAATTTAGCAATGTAATTTTAAGTCTGTGACAATTCACTGTTTAACGAGTAAGCCCTCAATTATGTTATCAGTGCAAAAATTACAATACCATACTACAACTACTATAATCAGAGATCAGATCGATCAGAAAATAAGTAAAAAGTTAAAATGAATAAAAAATTAACTAAACTAATAACATGTCAATCTTTATGATAACAAACGGTAGTTTGCATCTTCCAAAGATTAACATACAGACACTTATCGCATCTCTACAAGAATTTTGGCAGCAACTACAGTGTCTAACAGTTAGCAGCCTGAAGGCGAGATGTAGAAAATGAGCAGTGATATTGTCAATTAAATCATTAGAACAGAATACATAATTCTACTGTTCCTCTAGAGAACTTTAAACATTAGTAATTACCAGTACATTGGGACGTGCCATTGTATATTGTCATTCCCCCATCCCTACCCGCCATATTTTGTTGTTTACAACCCAGTTTCCTTTTCATGCAGGGAAAGCTGCACAGGCTGCCTTAAAATAATGAGAGAGCTCAATCAAAAAGACTCTCTTAAGGCAGCTTCTCTTGTTAATATGCACAGACATGAAAGGCCTTCCTTTTCTTCCTATACAGCTCCAGCGTGTGTAAATTGCAGGGGGTTCCCTGGCATAAATCTCTAGTGTGACTTCTGAGGGTAAACTGGATTTACATTACTTTCTGACAAGAATTAAATTAAGGCCTTGTGGATATATGAACCGTTTTCTAGACTGCAACAGATGGGCATGAATGTGCTCCCTAGGCAAGCGATCAGTGACATCTGTGTCCTCTAAATTCTGGTGGTCTCAGCCAATTAACAAGCACAGAAAGCAGTTGAATGAGCAGGGCGGCTCCTGGATAGCAGCTAATACTTGCACGGAACCCTTCTATTAAGTAAGAGCACTGCACACAACCTAGAGGCGAGAACTTGTTACAATGATAATTGAACATTTCGAAGTATGGATGATTTGTGTCTAGTAAGGTTACTACATATTTAAATGAATAATAAAGATTATGCATTAAAATTGATACTTTCGGATCTTCTTGGGGTGATGCCAATCATAAAATGTCTATAATTTCTTAGACAATGCTTGGTCTCCCAGTTCATTAAACTGTAAAATTACTAATATTCAATTACATAATTTTTCAATTGCAGGGTAATAGCTTCTTGATCTAAGGATCAATCCGACTGCCATTCTGGGGTCAAGAAGGATTTTTTCCCCCTGGTTTGTTGCAAAATTGGAAGTGCTTCAAACTGGGTTTGTTGGCTTATTTTGAATCAACAGCAAAAAATAGATGAGAGGAAAGCTGAATGTGATGGTCACGTTTTTTTTTCATCCTATGTAACTATTTGTCTGAGGTTGCATGCAATAATTTTATTTTATATAATACACCAAAAATATTCCACAGCGCTGTACAACACAAGCAATGCCAACAAAACATGTTTGACATAAAAAAACAGTAGGTGAAGAGGGCCTGCCCAAATAAAACACTAAATGCTCACAGAAATTATGGCCAGACCTTGCTAAACGCAAACATGGGTGGCATCTTAGTTACTTGCAGACACATTTGATTGTCATTTTATTAAGTAAATAAGAAGTAACTCTTAGCATACACTCCCATAAGTATATGTGAAACCTACAGTTCCCTGATTCTTCTTGGAAGTGAGGGATCAGGGTGTGTAGAAAGGATGCTTTTATTTTTAGTTCATTTTTACCAACTACGCAACTATTTTAGTTCAGAACTTGAGAATGTATTTTTGCACAGTGCTTTTAGTTACACTGTTTTTGAGCTACACAGTCCCTTTAAAGGACCACTATAGGCACCTAGACCACTTCAGCTCAATGAAGTAGTCTGGGTGCCTGGTCCCCCAGGAAACTGCTATGTTTACACTAGGGTTAATCCAGTCTCTAGTGCCTGTCTCACTGACAGGCACTTCCGCGCTTCTCACTGTGATTTTCACAGTGAGAAGAAACTGCCGTCCACAGGAAAGCATTGAGAAATGCTTGCCACGCATGCGCATTTAGCGCTGACGTCAGAAGAGGGAGGAGATTTCCCCATCACTGAGGGAGCCTGGCATTGGAGAAAGGTAAGTGATTAACCCTTTCCTCCCAGCGAGAGTGGGACACTGAGGGTGGGGGGGACCTAAAGACCCTATAGAGCCAGGAAAATTAGTTTGTTTTCCTGGCAGTATAGTGGTCCTTTAAGTGATGCAGTATGTATTTAGCAGACAAAGCCTGCATTAACTAGGAGATAATGAGGAGATAATTAATAATTGGTATGCCTAGTAATGCCTTCTTAATATTTATGATTGTCAGTAAGCTGAACTATATTTTTATTGTAAAATAATGTGCTTGAGACGTAAGATTTAGAGGTAAGTCAAATGGAGCTAACAAACAGTAAAGAAAGATGAAGGGTTACCTTTAAAAGAAAAAAACATGTTAGGAGCACACTAAAGGCACCAAAACAACTTTAGCTTAAAGTGATACTATAGTCACCCAAACAACTTTAGGTTAATGAAGCAGTTTGGGTATATAGATCATGCCTCTGGAGTCTCACTGCTCAATGCTTTGCATTTAGGAATTAAATCACTTTAGTTTCTGTGTATGCAGCCCTAGTCACACCTCCCCTGGCCTGCATGATTTTTTTTTTTACTTTTAATCAGATAGTTACATTAAAAGTTTGTATCTACTGCTCTCTAAATTGAACTTTAAACAAAAACAGGAGGCTCCTGCTTGCTCTAATTACTAGAAGTAAGTTATTAACAGATCAGGAGATAAGAACTTCTAAATTAAAACAGAATTTGCAATAAAGGAAGTGTAAACATTTGATCACTCTTTACAGGAAGTCTTATGAAGGCTGGGCAAGTCACATGCAGGAAGGTGTGACTACAGCTGCATAAACAAATTGATTTAAATCCTAAATGGCAGAGAAATAAGCAGTGAGACTGCAGGGGCATGATCTGTACACTAAAACTGCTTCATCACTTTTTTAATTAAACTGCTTTAATTTTTTATTTTTTTTTATGTATCCCCAGTGGCATTGGGAAGGGATAAGTCAGCTCAAACTGAAGCAAACTTTAAGTCAGTGTATTACTTAAAGGGACACTATAGTCACCTGAACAACTTTGGCTTAATGAAGCAGTTTTGGTGTATAGAACATGCCCCTGCAGCCCCACTGCTCAATCCTCTGCCATTTAGGAGTTAAATCCCTTTGTTTATGAATCCTAGTCACACCTCCCTGCATGTGACTTGCACAGCCTTCCATAAACACTTCCTGTAAAGAGAGCCCTATTTAGGCTTTCTTTATTGCAAGTTCTGTTTAATTAAGATTTTCTTATCCCCTGCTATGTTAATAGCTTGCTAGACCCTGCAAGAGCCTCCTGTATGTGATTAAAATTCAATTTAGAGATTGAGATACAATTATTTAAGGTAAATTACATCTGTTTGAAAGTGAAACCAGTTTTTTTTTCATGCAGGCTCTGTCAATCATAGCCAGGGGAGGTGTGGCTAGGGCTGCATAAACAGAAACAAAGTGATTTAACTCCTAAATGACAGTGAATTGAGCAGTGAAATTGCAGGGGAATGATCTATACACTAAAACTGCTTTATTTAGCCAAAGTAATTTAGGTGACTATAGTGTTCATTTAAAGAAATAAATGCAAAAGACAGATTGCAGTATGAATGCAGATACTGATTACTTTTAATTAAAGTGAGAGAATTTATAGAAGCAACAAAGGCGTGTATGATGGACAATATCATGGTACAGGTTAGAGTAAATAGGATGTATTTCATGCAGTTTGCAAAGATGTGTGATTTTAAGTAGCTTTATAAAATTTAAGCTGTATTTTTTTGTGTGTGCTGTTTATTATGTATTGGATATAAATTTTGGTCTCCACGGCAGCAACATTGCTGAGAAATGCATGTTCCGGGTGTAACTACAATTCCCTTCTTTTTTCTACAACATGTATTTCATGCAGTGTCATAATTGAACAGACCTCTTCCCTCTTCAACACACCATCACAAATACAAATGCATCTTCAACCTTTAAATCAGGGGTAGGAAACCCTTTTTTTTCGAATGGGCCATTTAGATATTTATAACCTAATTCGCCGGCCATGCCAAATTATCAGCTTAAAAATACGTACAACTATCTCACTGACACACAGACAATCCTACTGGTACACACACAAACTTAGTACAGAGAAACTCTCTGACACACACAAATGCTTACTACAGACAAACTCATTAATACACATGCTCACTACGGACAAGTTCACTGACGCACACATGCTCACTACTAACAATCTCATTGATACACACATGCTCACTACAGACAAGCTCACTGACACATGCTCAATGCTAACAGGATCACTGACAACTTTATGACAGACAAGCTCACTGACACATTCATACAGACAAGCTCACTGACACACAAATGCTCACTAATAAAAATCTCACTGACACATGCTCACTACAGACATGCTCACTGACATACACATATGCTCACTGATATACACATGCTCACTACAAACATATGCTCATTACAGACATGCTTACTGACATATGCTCACTACAGACAAGCTCATTGACACATGCTCAATGCTAACAGGATCACTGACACAACTTCATGACAGACAAGCTCGCTGACACACACATGCTCACTAATAAAAAGCTCACTGACACACATGCTCACTACAGACAAGTTCACTGACACACACATGCTCACTGACACACACATGCTCACTACAGAGAAGATCACTTACACACAAATGCTCACTACAGACGAGCTCTCCAACACACGTGCACTAAAGTCAAGCTCACACACAAGCTCACTCAGTCATTTGTTGCTGAGTAAGACTATCTGACACTGAATGATGTGGGAGCACTGAGTGTTAAAGATTCCACTTTCCAGCCTCTTCGCGTCGGTGAGGTCAGCTGCTTGAGTCTGGGGGCGGAGTTGAGTGCAGGGTAGAACAGAAGAGGCATAGAGAGCTCCCTCCCTACAGTGCTCACTCCTGCCACCATAGTGCGGCCGCAGCATCCCCCATCAAATCTCTCCAATACTAACTCATAGTACGAGGGGAACAATAATTTAAATATTATTAGGGCTTTTGAATTTTGAGCGCTGCCTGCAATTGCTTTGGCAGTGCCAAACCAAATTATTTCGGGACAGATGCTCCCCATCCCTGCTTTAAATATATGGAACTTGTCAGTTTTAAGGAGCAACCCTTTAAGAATCTGTTGCTTGTCTCTTCGTATGTCTTTAAGGGCATCTTTCATAGAATTTAAGTCTAAATAAAATTTGGAGACTGTAGACTCAACTTTGGGGGAAAAAACTGAGCCTGAACAATTCTTCTACTTAATTTTATGATAACTGGCATTAGAAAATCCCCACAAAATCCCTTAGCACAGTATAATTGAGGAAAAGGAGGATAGAACATACAAAGACAAATAGAAAAGGCATAGTGAGCTCAGATCTAGCCATTAAAGCTCTTTAGTACAAAATATTTAGTCAGTGAGCTTACAATCTAAAGGCTAAAATGGGAAATTGAAGCAAGATGTAGCAGAGATAATTTGAAGGGGATCGCCAGAGAGAATTAAACGATAATTGCAGCAACTGGTAAGATATAAAGAGAATGAGGAGGTAAATTAATGATGTGTCAAACAGATGGAGAAGTATGTACATATACGATGGGAACAGGGTGGGTTAGTGCTTAGTGAAAATTAAGTTTCTCTTTTTTATTCCTGTTAAATGGAAGGCTCTGAACAGGTAGAAAAGAACACAGTTGGGTAAAAGTATTTTCTACCAGGATGGGCAAGGAATAGAGAGAGAGGTGGGTAAAGCAAACATTTGTTAGGTATAATTGAAAAAAAGTTTGCCAACCAGACTATCACCGAAAATAATAGCTATATGCCAATTTAATACTAATTAAATAAATTCACTGAAAATAGCAATTTAAAAAATGGATATACAGAAAATGACTAAGGATAAATGTGGTAAACTACAGAGAAACATGGCAATATAGTAATTGTAAAAATAATAATATAGTGACAAAGGGTAGAATAATTGAGTTTGAGTATCTTTCAAGCTTCAGTCAATACCTGAAATTTGCTAGGTGACCATGGATAGTTGAACACATAAAACCGTAATACCAGGCAAGCTTTCTTTCTAGTGGAAGTATACACAACAGTACAAAAGTGTGCACAAATGTGTGTTTGACATCATACTGATTCTACAAGCATGCATGTAATGGTATAAAAGTTCCTGCAAAGTGCTTCATTCAAACAAAAGGCAGAGCACCGATTAGATGAATGATTTCAGCTACTGTTTTATTTCTGTGGCGAGGTGAGCTGCTATAGATTTCCTTGGTATTGCTAATTTTAATGCAGTACCTGTACTGTTTCTTCTTGATAAACTGTCTAATTTTGTTTTGACTGACTATGTAGGCTAATCTTTGCTACAGATAGCCTGTAGTTTATTTTTCCGCCTGCAGTCTGAAAATAATGTAAGTAATTCTGTTTTGAATACCATCTGATTGTTGCATATGAAATCTCAATCACCAAAAAAAAGGCCTTCCCAAGGTGACATTATAGATTTGGTACATCAGGGTGCAGCCCAGAGTCTACGCAACGCGGGTGCCTTTGAAGTGAGAAATCTCCAATACATAAACTACCACAACAATTTCTTGAGAAATCAAATAAAAACAAGTAAGGGGTTTTAGCTTCATCTAGAAACAGCCAAAATATGTCATTACTTAATGTTAGAAGTGTCATAACAACCAATTGTTACCAAGGTGAGGCCCAACGAATTAAGAAATAATCTGCCTGGACCCACTAATCTGGTCGTGTGACTCCACAATCATATGGCAATGTAAAACAGAGAGGTCTTTGTCAAAGTGATAAAGACTTGAAGAGTTTCTCGTTCATGAATATACATGGCTAAACCCAACCCCCTGCTGAAGCATGATATATGTACACACTGCTTAACCCTTTAATCACAGTTTTTTTCAACATTCCATACTTTTGAGAAAGAGGCTGTTTTAGTATTTTTACTATGTAATTGTTTCACCTTAAATTCCAGTTTTCCACCCATATCTATTACATACACTGATCAGCCACAACATTAAAACCACCTGTCTAATATCACGTAGGACCCTGGGGTATCTTGCCCAATATACTTTATTACAAACCGAGCCATCGTGGAAAACCTGAGGTTCGTTACACGTATTTTAAACCATATAACTTTGTTGGTGGAAAAGTTGAATTATTTTGCCCAGTTGTTGCCGACACGGGCAATGTCCAAGCGGCAAGACACTCAAATAGGCGGGGCATAGTTAAGACAATGTCCACCCTCTCAAGGTTGTTAAGCCTGGAGGTGTGGTCAGGCATTGAGCCTCTGTTGCCTTGACAACTTGATGCAACAAAGTTATAGGTTTTAAAATACGTGTAACGAGCCTCTGGATTTCCCCATTGGCTCAGTTTGTAATAAAGTATATTGGGCAAGATACCTTGAGGTCCTGAGATTTGACATTATTATGCTGTGACGGATGACGTCAGACGCTTGCGACCCCGGCATTTCCTAGGACAGATGTTTTTACTTTATAGTAATCATATCAATACGAATTATTTAATGTAACATGTGAACCAACTTGTGATTAATTATGGCTGTGTTAGCATTCTCTATTAAATGCAACAGAGTGAGTTAACTGATTATTTTTTATTAAGATTATGGTAATTTGTATTATCCAGTGCAATATAGGAGTTAACGGATTTCATTATCATTGTTTAATTAATTGGTTGTTAATGGATACTGTGGTTGGTAAAAATAGGGGTATGTAACAGTTGTGATTTTGACTTGACAAAGGCTCGCCCTAGAGCCAAAACATTGTCTTCACTTCTGCTTTTTAAATAAAGTCTGCCTTTTAAAAACATCTCCAAGTGTGCCCAGATATTGATGGCCCAGTTCTGACACTCACATCCCCTTTGGAGGCACTCTCGGCATTGAACAGTGGTCATCATGGGCAGTCTGACCAGCCTGTTGCTACACAGCCCCATCTGCAGCAAACTGCGATGCACTGGCTGATGAGTGTTTAAACCTGCCCTTTTCACACTATGGCTTTTGATCTTTTATAAATGAATATATAATTATCAATACTCCCAGTGAGAAAGAGTGATAGCATGTTAATGGCACAATGAACATCACTGGTGAAACAAGGTGGAGGATACAATCAAAAGATGGTTATCATATCAGACATATAGACATGCACATTGATCTAACATGCAACGTCATCACCTACTTTTTAATAACTATGGAAATGAAATATGACACATGAGAGGTAGTTCATTGCTGTGGTATACCAAATTATGGTCTATAAACCCCAATCACCTTAAAACTATCGTAAGAGATGTAAAACTGTGTCAGTACTTGCAATGCTATTAGGCAGGATAGAGGTGGTGGGATTGATTATAGTTATATAAGACAAAGTTTCTTATGGATAACGTTGACATCTGAATTTTTTGTCAAATACAAAGCCTTCAGGATGGATGAGATTCCAAGGAAATGTTTGGAGACATATGCGAAGCCAAATATATCCAACACAGGGCTTGGATATTGTGGGCTTTTATTTATCGCAATGGAAACAGGATTAAGTGGAAGTATTTGCCCCTCCCATATATATAACCTTTTTCATCTAATTAAACCTTTACTCTTAAATAAATTTACAGAAATGAAAAGTTAATATTTTACTTGCTTCTAGCAGATTAGTATTTTACCTACCTTAATTATGTCAGCATGATACAGTGTTAAGATGTTTTCATTTAAATTGCAATCTATAAAACAATAGTATTATTCCAGCACCTTTTTAAAAATACCATTCCACAAATACTTGATTCTGGTGAATATTCCTGTAGAAGCATTATAGAACCTTTTAAAAAGCAGCAAATCAAAACCATCTTGCTGAATGTACTAACCAAGGAATGCTTTTAATGGAGAAACAATAGCACATCTTCATTCAAATCTTTAGTGGTCATGATATAGAGATATTGCTTATTAAGCAACCATTATTCATCATGATTTAAAATTGCATAGCAAGAGACATCTTGGTTATGAGGATTACGTAGGATTCAGTCCTTACATGTGTGACATGTCATGATTCCCTTTTATTCCAGAAGTTTAGTCCTTAAGTGGTTAAAGGAACACAATAGTGTTAGGAATACAGACATGTATTCCTAACACTATAGTGCTGGAATAGATATTTAGGTCTCCGGCACCCCTCTTTATAGTGTAAAAAGGTTTAAAAATGTACCTTTTCTCCATCGATGTGCCGGTCTTGCCGCAGTTAGCCTCGTCTCAATCTTGGCAATTTCAGCCAATCCAATGCTTTCCCATAGGAAAGCATTGGGAGGCTATGGCGCAGTCACAGCATAACACTCTACCAATCATCATCCTTCTTAGAAATGCATTGAATCAATGCGTATCTATAGAGGGCATTCAGTCTCTCCATGTAAAGCGTGGAGCAGCTGAACGTAGGTGATCGGAAGCACCTCTAGTTGCTATCTTAGTGACTGCACCTAGAGATGTTACTAAGCAGCTATGTAAACAAGACTTTTTCTCTTTAACCCCTTAACGCCATTACGGCGTTCTATGCCGTCCCGCATTAAAAGGGCTTTAAAGCCGTTGCGGTGACGTAGAACGCCGTAATGGCTTGCAGCCCCTGGAGGTCCGGAGAACTTACCTCCGCCGCGATCCTCTTCTGGAGGGCTGCCTGACAGCCCAGGCAGCCCTCCCCCGGCAAATGAGGCCCCGGGGGCCATGTGATCGCTCTCAAAGAGCGATCACATGCCCCCTATAGCTGGCTGTGGATCTGCCAGCAGGGGGACTGTCTGAAATGTCAGACAGTCCCCCTGCTGGTGGGAAAGTAAAAAAAAAAAAGAATTCAACATGTGTAAAATTAAAATAAATGTATATATATATATATATATATATATATATATAATATATGTATATCTATTATAATTATGTAACGTCATACAAAGTGTATTTTAATATTAATATAAGTACATATATTAGTATTAAAATATACTTAGAATGATGTGTATATATATATATATATATATATATATATATATATATATATAATATGTATGTTTATATATATAATATATACACACACACACACATATATATATATATACACACGTATAATTACAATAATAAATTAAATAAAATAAATAAAATATTGAAACAAAATTTAATATAAATTATATATTCATATGTAATTTCATTTTAACTGTATTTTGTTATTAATATATATTGGTAACAAAATACACTTAGAATGACATTCTATATCTATCTATCTATATATAAAATACAAATAACCGCAAATAAATATATATATATATATATATATATATATATATATATAGATAAATACATATAATTACATAAAAGATTACATTAGTATACATGCAGAATTTAAATACCTATAAATGCATATATATTAAAATTCGACGTGTATATTTAAGTAATCTTTTAACGTAATTATGTGATTTGATTAATTAAAATTTGATTGACATGCCTGACAACACAGGGAGAAAGTGCAGAGAATTTAATTCGCAAGCACTATATTTGACCCTTTAACTCTCCAAGACACCATAAAACCTGTACATAGGGGGTACTGTTTTACTCGGGAGACTTCGCTGAACTCAAATATTAATGTTTAAAAATGATAAATTGTATTACAAGGATGATATTTTAAGTAAAGGTGGCGTTTTTTTGCATTTTTTACAAACAAACTGCACTTTTATGGACTATATTATTGTTGTAATATGTTTTACTCTTTTAAAACACTAATATTTGTGTTTAGTGAAGTCTCCCGAGAATAACAGTACTCCCCATGTACAGGTTTTATGGTGTTTTGGAAAGTTAGAGAGTCACATATAAGGCTTGCATTTAATTTTTTTGACACTGAAATTTGCCAGATTGGTTATGTTGCCTTTGAGAGCGTATGGTAGCCCAGGAATGAGAATTACCTCCATGATGGCATACCATTTGCAAAAGTAGACAACCCAAGGTATTGCAAGTGGGGTATGTCCAGTCTTTCTTAGTAGCCACTTAGTCACAAACATGTAATGAAAATGTAATGTGCTATATTTGACCCTGTAACTTTCCAAAACACCATAAAACCTGTTAATGGGGGGTACTGTTGTATTCGTGAGACATCGCTGATTACAAATTTGTGCATTTTTTTTCAGTAAAACCTAACAGTATTATGACATTAACAGCTAAAATGTCAGACAGAAATATAAATGTAAAAAAAAAATCTTATTTTCTCACATTTTTTTAAATTTTATTCATAATAAATTATATTCCATATATGAATAGTGATAAATTAAAGCCCTGTTTCTCCTGAACAAAATTATATATAATAAGTGTGGGTGCATATAATATGGAAGAGGTGAATTACGGTTGAACAGACGTATAGCGCAAATACCAGTTTTTGTTTACGTTTTGTTTTGATCAGAACATGTACTATTGACTCCGTCCTGAAGGGGTTAAGCTGTAGTGTACCTGGTGATCATAGTGCCTCTTTAATGTGTAACCTTGCGAATCTGTCCATTTACCTTGAGAATGGAACAAACACCCCAAGACTCAAACCCAATTTGTTTTGTGCTTAATATATTATTTTGTGTTTAATATAATATAGTAAATAATATAGTAAATATATTATGTGAGGGCCAAAGATTTTCTTGTCATAAAAAAAATAATTGTAAAAGCTTTAAAAAAAAAAAAAAAGAATTGTTCCTCGTTAGCCTACTCAAAGAAATGTCACTTATGAAACCATAACATGTTCCATAAAGTTTTGTACCCCACCAAATTAAGAAAAACTGTTTACAAGGATAAACACTGCATTGAAAAGGAGTATAGATAATATATGACAGGTACAGCTACTTCACTATAAAATGCAGTTGAAAGTCCCACCACAAGATGGAGCTTCAGAACTTTGAAATTATAGGGATTTTTCAATACATCCATAAATTACAGATGAAAGACGCGTTTATTTTAAAAACCTAGATTACATGAGAATCCATTATACTTATACTCATATTAAAAAATCTGCTTGCTGGGAGCTGACCTCACGCAGTTTTATATCTGGTTCCCTAGGGAACAAAGAGCTTTGTTAAGAACCGATTGCCCAGTCATTTTCACCTCCCTTCGGGTGTGGGACAGGTGTGCCCAGAAATAAGACCTAACCAAACCACAATCCCCCATGATGCCTCTACCTCGTAACAGAGCATTTCTACCTGGCATGAGGGCTAGACACTTTCAGGGAATTGAACAT